CTAAACTATTAAGTTCGTGATCCAACATTTCAACATTCTCACGATCTTCCAGTTTAACATAAACCTTTGAAAGTTCCAACATAACATCGGTTGCTTTCACGAAAAGCTCATTCAGTTGATCTACACCATCCCTTACCTGTTTCTGTGATGGTTGATCATCACTTTCTATCAAAGTCATGAGTTTATTCCTAGCTTTGGTACAACTCGATTTGGCTGTTGCCTTTTGTTGTTTTAATACGAACACATGAACACGTTCGGCTGTCGCCGACAGAGATCTTAGCTCCGAAGTAGTTGACCTAAGCTGGCTATCTATTCCAGTTTCCGACATAGTTTGGTCTAAGCTGTCTATCTATCTAAATATCAAATGAGTTCTATTTCTATCTATTGGTTCTATTGAAAATGTAACAGAAAACCACGCTCTGCTACCATTGTTGCGCAGTGGAATTGAAAACTAAACTAACTAAAATAAAAGTATTGAAATATGCTATTTGGGGAACTAAACGTGACTCTCTTGATTAAACTGATGAAATAATTCAAACTATACAAATGGGGAACTAAACGTGAATCTCTTATAGCAAATGCTAATGAGGCAAGAAAGTTAATGTGATACCTTAAATTCTATTATCTACACTATCTGGCTCTATTGCAGCGTAAGTCTACTATATACAGTATCTAGCTCTATAGCAGCTAGCTATATGGAACTTCTATTTCGATGCACTAATACATTCTTTATATCAGTCTATCTAAATCCTACTTTGAAGAGCTGTCACCCAACTCAAGAAACAACCGAACTCAAGGGAAACCTGAACTCAACTGACGTCTAAACACAATTACGTCTTAACCCAAGCATAACCTGTACACAACTGACCGATTCGACCATTTCCCACGTGGTCAAGAGCACGTGGTCTGACCGCACGTGAAAAGTCATGCTTCTCGGTGAGCCGCGAAGCATGGTGCGTTTACTCGATCTGTTCCAACTGTTTTGTCTCCAGACCAACCTTTGATGTTTTCATCTCAGCCACAAAAAGGAAAAGATATGGAGATAGTGGGTCTCCCTGTCTACATCCCCTTTGATTTGCAAAGAACTCGGATTGATTACCATGTTGGATAACACAAGATGTTGTTTCATAGGTTAATATATTTATCCATCTTATAATTTCAGGGCCAAATTCAAGTTTATCTAAAACCAGGTTGATAAAATCTTTTGAAACAGTGTCAAACACTTTTTTAAAGTCAATCAGAATCAGCAAACCAGGAATGTTTTGTTTCTTTGTTTCAAACATTATATCATATAACAATCTTGTATTTTCACTAATAGTCCTACCCGGTATAAAACCAGTTTGGTTAGAGTGAATAAGTTCATCTAAAGTAGTTTTTAATCTATGTGCAATGCAGGAGATGATAATTTTATAAATAGCATTAAGTAAAGTGATTGGCCTCCAATTTTTAAGTAATGTTCTATATTTTTGGGGTTTTGGAATACACCCCTTTTCATATTCAAAGACATTTCATTTTTTGTTGATACTTCTTTAATAAATCTATAGATCCAAATATTTAATTCATTTTTTAAAGAAATCAATAGGAAATCCATCAATCCCTGGGTTTTTATTTTACTTCATCCTGTAAACAGCATTGCTAATTTCATCCAAACTGATTTCTCTTTCAAGATAATCTCTTAGTGTTTTGTTTAAAGTTGGAGTTTTAATATCCTTTAAGCAGTCTTCTTCTTTATATTGTTCCTGAGAAGCATAGAGAATTTTATAAAATAGTTTTACTTCATTCAGTATTGATTTGCTGTCAGTGATTTCGTTCTTATCATTAGTTATTATCTTATTAATTGATTTTTTTGAGAAATTCCTATTTTCTAGATGGCAGAAATATTTTGAAGGTTTTTCTCCTTCTTCATACCAAAGAATTAGGTTTCGATTTGTATTCCTTTCATTTCCTCACTTTTAATTTCTTCCATTTCTTTCTTATATTTTGATAGTTCATTCAAAATTTCTTCATTAATGTTTTGGAAGTTTTTTTCGAATAGTATCTTCGACCTGTTTTATTTTTAATTCTAGTTCTTCTGTATGTTTTGCCTTTGTTTTCTTTATGTAGGATGAAAAAGATATGGTCTTTCCTCGGATTTTCATTAATAATGTTTCTAGAAATAAGGAGTTGGAAATTGTAAGTTTAATATTTTCAGTATTTTTAAAGTTATCCATTTTTTCTGTTGAGTATTCCTGAACAGTGTCATTTAAAATAGTTCTGACTAAGTTTCCATAATCATGATTTAACAACAAGGAATTATTAAACTTCCAGTACCCATGTCCTTGTTCCTGGCTTAAAGCGTTATTGTTGAGTGGTCACTTTTATAGCCTGGCAAAATATCTGAATCCAAAGTTATATCAAATATATCTTCTGATACAATAAAGAAATCAAGTCTGGCTTGTTGTCTTGGATATTTTTTCCACCAGGTGTATTTTCTACATTTATCATTCAAATTCCTCCAGACATCAATAAGATTATAAGATTCGATAAATTCTAATACAGTATTTCTTGATTTTGGGTTGTTTACATGCTTATAGTTCTCAAGATCAATTGTAGGATCAATCACCAAATTCCAGTCTCCAACAATTACCATAGAATCATTCTCAAAATTCAGAATATTTTCAGATAGATTAATGTAAAATTGATGGTCATCATTATTAGGACCATAGAGATTAGTCAGTGTCAGTCTTTTATCCTCTACGGTTATATCAGCAATTATATAATTGCCATTTTCATCTGTTAAGGTCCTGTGTATTTTGAGATCAATATCGTTGTTAAAAAGAATGACCACTCCTCTGGAATTAGATTTAAAAGGTGCAATTATGGATTGTAAACCCCATTCATTTCTCATGATATTGCAAGTAGATTGATCAATATGAATGTCTTGTAAACATATAATTGAGTGTAATCTTTTCCTATGTATGTTCATTAATTCTTTTCTTTTAGATTTATTAGCAAGTCCTCTACAATTAGCCTAGTTGTCCTAGTCTGTCATGTCATGGTCACCACCAGGAGACCGATATCTATAGTTGGCCTAGTCTGTCATGAAGGGGTCACCACCAGGAGACCGATATCAATAGTTGTCCTAGTCTGTCATGTCATGGTCACCACCAGGAGACCGATATCTATAGTTGGCCTAGTCTGTCATGAAGAGGTCACCACCAGGAGACCGATATCAATAGTTGGCCTAGTCTGTCATGAAGAGGTCACCACCAGGAGACCGATATCTATAGTTGGCCTAGTCTGTCATGAAGAGGTCACCACCAGGAGACCGATATCAATAGTTGGCCTAGTCTGTCATGACACAGTCACCACCAGGAGACCGCTATTAATAGTTGGCCTAGTCTGTCATGTAGAGGTCACCACCAGGAGACCGATATCAATAGTTGGCCTAATCTGTCATCACATGGTCACCACCAAGAGACGGATATCTATAGTTGGCCTAGTCTGTCATGAAGGGGTCACCTCCAGGAGACCGATATAAATAGGTGGCCTAGTCTGTCATCACATGGTCACCACCAAGAGACGGATATCTATAGTTGGCCTAGTCTGTCATGAAGGGGTCACCACCAGGAGACCGATATCAATAGTTGGCCTAGTCTGTCATCACATGGTCACCACCAGGAGACCGATATTAATAGTTGGCCAAGCCTGTCATGAAGAGGTCACCACCAGGAGACCGATATCAATAGTTGTCCTAGTCTGTCATGAAGAGGTCACCACCAGGAGACCGATATTAATAGTTGGCCTAGTCTGTCATGTAGAGGTCACCACCAGGAGACCGATATCAATAGTTGGCCTAGTCTGTCATCACATTGTCACCACCAAGAGACGGATATCTATAGTTGGCCTAGTCTGTCATGAAGGGGTCACCACCAGGAGACTGATATCAATAGGTGGCCTAGTCTGTCATGAAGAGGTCACCACCAGGAGACCGGTATCAATAGTTGGCCTAGTCTGTCATGTAGAGGTCACCACCAGGAGACCGATATCAATAGTTGGCCTAGTCTGTCATCACATTGTCACCACCAAGAGACGGATATCTATAGTTGGCCTAGTCTGTCATGAAGGGGTCACCACCAGGAGACTGATATCAATAGGTGGCCTAGTCTGTCATGAAGAGGTCACCACCAGGAGACCGGTATCAATAGTTGGCCTAGTCTGTCATCACATGGTCACCACCGTGAGACTGGTATCAATAGTTGGCCAAGCGTGTCATGACATGGTCACATCCAGGCGACCGGTATCAATAATTGGCCTAGTCTGTCATCACACGGTCACCACCGTGAGACCGGTATCAATAGTTGGCCAAGCGTGTCATGACACGGTCACCACCGTGAGACCTGTATCAATAGTTGACTAGTCTGTCATCACACGGTCTCCACCGTGAGACCGATATCAATAGTTGGCTAGTCTGTCATCACATTGTCACCACCAGGAGACCGGTATCAATAGTTGGCTATTCTGTCATCACACGGTCACCACCGTGAGACCGGTATCAATAGTTGGCCAAGCGTGTCATGACACAGTCACCACCAGGAGACCGGTATCAATAGTTGGCCTAGTCTGTCATCACATGGTCACCACCGTGAGACTGGTATCAATATTTGGCCAAGCGTGTCATGACACGGTCACCACCAGGAGACTGATATCAATAGTTGTCCTAGTCTGTCATGTCACGGTCACCACCAGGAGACCGATATCAATAGTTGGCCAATCCTGTCATCACATTGTCACAACCAGGAGATCGTTATCAATAGTTGGCCTAGTCTGTCATCACATGGTCACCACCAGGAGACCAATATCAAAAGTTGTCCTAGTCTGTCATGTCACGGTCACCACCAGGAGACCGATATCAAATATTTGGAATTTTCATACTTTTGAGTAAAATCTTTAAAACTGCATATAATATTTACATAATGTTTTTATGTAGATTTGTTATACTTTAACTTCTGGTTTTCCAGGAAAAGGAAGAAAGAATTATTATCCCACTCATCAGCTGCAGTGTCACTGTCAAAGAAAAGGAAGAAAACAGGAAAAAGAAAGTAATTTGAATTGAGCCTATTTGTTTTGTCTGACTTATGCATGTTCCTCAAAAGAGGTATAAAGTTATTAAGGAATATGCAACTGTTTTTACAGTTCATAATATTTTATCATTACATTTACGTGTTAAGGTAATATACAGAGTTGAATGTTGATTCCTATGAAACAAATAAGCGAACCAGGAAGAGTCCTTAAAAGAACATAACAAATGTGATGTATCTGACACTTGTATTCTTAAATTTACTAAGTTCACCAATCAATCCAAATCACTACAAAGGTATCACTATGACAGTACAAAATAGAGTGGCAGTACAGATTCGGTGTTGATAGAATACAAGAGCAGTGGTTACAAAAATATAGACATTGATTGTAATATTCACCTCTCAGCAACGGTAATCCAACTTGCAAAACAGGCCTTAATGGAGTATCTTGGGTTTAGTGATGACCACACTCAATGCTGGTCTCTAACTCCCCTTTGGGGCGGTAGCCTAGTGGTTAAAGCGTTCGCTCGTCACGCCGAAGACCCAGGTTCGATTCCCCACATGGGTACAATGTGTGAAGCCCATTGCTGGTGTTCCCCAGCCGTGATATTGCTGGAATATTGCTAAAAACGGCGTAACACCCAACTCACTCACTCACTCTAACTCCCTTTCTATAATACTCTCTGAGGCAGTAGATTTCAGAACCAGCATCCTGTAGTACTATCCAGATCTTTCTGCCTAAATCTAGTACAAGTCTAAATATATCACCCCACTGTTCTGTACTGAATCTACAGGTACAATGTGTAACAGTGAGAAAATTGTTACACAATGTACAACATGCCTTAAAACAGCATGAAAAGATTATGCTTCTCATGTTACACACACTTAACAGTAACACCTTTCCAGTTAGCTCCAGCATAAATCTGTTTGCTTATAACCAGAAAACTGTTGATAGATTGATGTACAAATTGTTCTGTGAATGATTCAGATATGCAATAAAGTGTTTCCAGATGTTCTTGATGCCAAAAATGTGTTTGCATTGGATCCTTTGTATTCAAATTGTTTTTAACATGAAAACTTTAATAAACTAAGAAGACAGTAATGTGAATGATGTATCATATGTGACAAGGTATGACTGTAGATAATATTGTTTATGTGTCACCATAATGTGTTCTTTACTAGGAAGTGTAGTTGATGTTATCAACTTACAGGTGTTGCTGTAGTTTGATTCCCCAAGGTGTGCTTGACATGAAGAGTTAATAGCCACTAACTGTGTGCCATGTTCCTGATGGATGTTAGTGTCAAGATAGAAAGTTCATGTCTATTGTATGGGTGACAAGGACACTTCATACTATATATATATATATATCTTCAATGTATTTGTGAAAAAATAAAATTGTCTCACTGTGTGTAGTATTATTGATCCTTTCTGTAGCTATGTGGTACCTCCAACTTACAGTATGTTTTGTCCATGCTTCACCTTGTGAAGCTGTGTGAACTGTGTAAGCTACTGTATAAAATTTTGATACTGTAGATACAAGTCATGATGTAATGCAACAGTGTGTTGCAACAGTTGTGCCATGATACAAGGATCACATTGTGTTGCAACAGTTGTGTCATGATACAAGGATCACGTTGTGTTGCAACAATTGTGTCATGATACAAGGATCACATTGTGTTGCAACAGTTGTGCCATGATACAGGGATCACATTGTGTTGCAACAATTGTGCCATGATACAAGGACCATATTGTGATGCAACAAAAGTACCATGGTACAAGGATCACATTATGTTGCAACAGTTGTGCCATGATACAAGGATCACATTGTAATGCAACAATTGTGCCATGATACAAGGATCACATTGTATTGCAACTATTGTGCCATGATACAAGGATCACATTGTATAGCAACAATTGTGCTACGATACAAGGATCACATTGTGTTTCAACAGTTGTGTCATGATACAAGGATCACATTGTGTTGCAACAATTGTGCCATGATACAAGGATCACATTGTGTTGCAACAAGTGTGCCACAATACAAGGATAACATTGTGTTGCAACAATTGTGCCATGATACAAGGATCACATTGTGTTGCAACAAGTGTGCCATGATAAAAGGATAACATTGTGTCGCAACAGTTGTGCCATGATACAGGGATCACATTGTGTTGCAACAATTGTGCCATGATACAAGGATCACATTGTGTTGCAACAAGTGTGCCACAATACAAGGATAACACTGTGTTGCAACAAGTGTGCCATGATACAAGGATCACATTGTGTTGCAACAATTGTGCCATGATACATGGACCATATTGTGTTGCAACAAAAGTACCATGGTACAAGGATCACATTGTGTTGCAACAGTTGTGCCATGATACAAGGATCACATTGAGGTGCAACAATTGTGCCCCGATACAAGGATCACATTGTGCTTCAACAGTTGTGTCATGATACAAGGATCACATTGTGTTGCAACAATCGTACCATGATACAAGGATCACATTGTGTTGCAACAATTGTGCCATGATACAAGGATCACATTGTGTTGCAACAAAAGTACCATGGAACAAGGATCACATTGTGTTGTAACAGTTGTGCCATAATACAAGGATCGCATTGTATTGCAACAGTTGTGCCACGATACAAGGATCACATTGTGTTACAACAATTGTGCCATGATACAAGGACCACATTGTGTTGGAACAAGTGTACCATGATACAAGGATCTCATTGTTTCAAGCAGCATGTTGTGATACCAAGCAGTCATGTTGTGACACAACATTATAAAACAGAATGTTTATAAGTCCAATCATCATGCATAGCCTGCAAAAACAATATAAGACTCTAGTCAGTACTGAATACACAATGCCAAAGTTCTGTCTGGTGTTCAAACAGTTTGTAGTTCTCTTCCCGCATACAGGTAAACAGGAGGTCCAGTTGCATACTGCTATAAATGGCTGTTCAACTGGTGACGTGAACATAATCTAACCAGCACACCATGAGCAACACATCAAGGACTCAAGGCATTTGTCAAAATGGGAGGGTCTAGGTTATTTAGGGAGGGGCACACATGACATTGCATACCGACAGTTGTGAGGGTAAACACATTTTACTTCATTTTGTTTGAATAACAACTTCCAGAATTTCAACTACAGTGATGTATAGAAAGTAGAAGCATAAAACAATAATATTAGTTGCCTAGTGACAGTATATTGACTTGTTCAGGAGACATGTAATATTCCCTGTCTGACGTCTGTAGGAGCACTGTGATGTCCTTGTAGGTAGGTGTTTGGTCTGTCGCCTTTAGTCAGTCATCAATCAAATGTCAGGCAGGCAGAGGTTGGTGAAGCAAAGAATTTTGTTTTCTAAATACCTACACCTGAAATTGGGCAGATTCTCTAAGTGAAGGTCAGACAAAACAGATCTGTTGTAAATAAATTGGTGACATATGAGATTTAGAGCTCCTCTTAATGAGGAACCAATGCAGAGTCATATAGAGTTGATAGTCATCTCATGGTTTATACAGTGACTTGTTTTGTTCCTGATCTACTGGTTGACATACAAGGGATGGGTTGCCTCTGCCCATCAGCTCAACAAGGATTGATGTTGCCAAATATTGACGTTATAAGGATTGGCGTCTGATGATGTGCAATATATTGACATCCCAAACAATGGTCACTCTTGATATGCCACAAGTATTCCAGCAACAGGGGTGTGTCTGTCTGTGGTTTCAAGCCATGTACCTTGGTGCTGGAGACATAGACAACTGAGTACAAGATCTTCATGTGCCAGTTCCTTCTTCTACCATTAGCTTGTAGTACCAGCAGGTGGTGTGGCAGACCTAGGTCTGCTTGAACTCTACGATCAATGATTATATACTTTTCAAAATACTCTTATTAAGTTCATTTTAACAACGATCTGGTACATCATGGTCCAGATACACCAACAGTCTGGTACTCATTGCTCAGATACATCAACAATTTGATTCAACATGGCTCATACACCAACATTTTGGATCGTCAAGATGAAGACACTCCAATAATCTAGTATTTCAAGGTTGAGACTCACCAACAATCTGGTACATCATGATCCAGATACACCAACTATCTGGTACATCATGATCCAGATACACCAACAATCTGGTACATCATGGTCCAGATACACCAACTATCTGGTACATCATGGTCCAGATACACCAACAATCTGGTACATCATGGTCCAGATACACCAACTATCTGGTACATCATGGTCCAGATACACCAACTATCTGGTACATCATGGTCCAGATACACCAACTATCTGCTACATCATGGTCCAGATACACCAACAATCTGGTACATCATGGTCCAGATACACCAACTATCTGGTACATCATTGTCCAGATACACCAACAATCTGGTACATCATGGTCCAGATACACCAACTATCTGCTACATCATGGTCCAGATACACCAACAATCTGGTACATCATGGTCCAGATACACCAACAATCTAGTACATCATGGTCCAGATACACCAATCTTCTGGTACATCATTGTCCAGATACACCAATCTTCTGGTACATCATGGTCCAGATACACCAATCTTCTGGTACATCATGGTCCAGATACACCAACTATCTGGTACATCATGGTCCAGATACACCAATCTTCTGGTACATCATGGTCCAGATACACCAATCTTCTGGTACATCATGGTCCAGATATACAAATATCTTTCACATAAAGGTTCACAATGTCTCCTTTCTGCTTGTGGACAGACTTGGCCCCAGATATGCAGGCAAGAGTTACTTGTCAGTATGTTGAAATACAGTTTGATCAAATTGTCGTCAAAAACAATATCATTTTTCTCCAAACAATATGTTTGATAGTTTGGGGCTATTTCCATCTGTGCATTAGGTAGGATGATTGTACCAGTTGGTGTGAGGAGTTTGTGTGTGTATTTTTATGGTGATTGTGAGGGGCGTCTATGACGAACCTGGAAATTGGTGACATTTGCAGCTTGTTACTTTGAACTTCAGTGCATGCATGCAGCAACGATAATTAACTGTTCCTGTCTGATTATTGACTTTAGATCCGCATGCAGTCGGAATGTTTAAACATGTACTATTAGCCAAATTTGTCAAGGTATCTAAATAACAGAAATAGTTTTGTACAAGTTTATTTAAGGATGAAAGGCACATGCGAAATTAATGATTCGTTTCAGCCTATTGCTTCCATTATGTTCTTTAAGATCGTGTCAGGCTTAAGTATTTTGTGTACTATTAGCATACTACTTCGCACCTGTTAATGAGAATCATCTTCTTCTCCATCCAGGGATTGGCTGAAGCTTCTTCAGAGGAATGCTTCGCGACTGCGTGTGTAATGTTATTTTGTCTCAATGTCACCGCGTTCCCTCGCCCCCAGTATTTACTTCAACAGGAGTCATACTGTGTAAAAGATAAAACTTGCCGAGCCAGGACTTGAATAGTTTCCTGTGTAACGGGACGGCTACTGTCTCTTTAACATTCTGTCACATACAGAACCATCTGAAGCCAAGGCAGTCACGTCTCCTGCGACGTAGTTTGTTTATTTGTCGTTACTCGCTGTGTATCACACCTAGAAAATGTTTACAATTTCATTAAGGTAAAAACAGGACCTAGTCAAACGGTTGTTGGAGAAACAGAAATATTGTAAGGTATTTTAAGTTCCCCCATATGCTGAATGCAGCCAATTAGTTATGTTTCCAATACTAAATCATTTACTGTTTGTTGTATTTATATAAATGCGAATGCCTATATGTTATTGATATAACAGCCGGTGTTCATATTCTGGTAACCAGGAAGCAGATGCACCCTAACAAGCCATTCCTCTGTATATCGGCAGAAGATAATCGACTTCCTGTCAAGCAACAAAAGTGGGGACCAGGGCCTAGATTTTCGAAGCTCTCTTAGCGCTAAGATAGTCGTAACTGTCATACATTAACATTAACTTACCACGATCTTAGCGCTAAGAGAGCTTCGAAAATCTAGGCCCAGGGTTACAAATCGTCCGGATCAGCCCGTGCTGGGACCCGTTTCACAAAGCGATCGTAGCGCTATAAAGGTGATCATAACTCCCATACTTTAACATAGACTTACGACAGTCGTAACGCTACGATAGCTTTGTGAAACGGACCCTGGTCGTAAGCTACGACAAAATGGATCGGGATGTCAGGGTCGTTCACATGGATGATGGCATGTCATCGCAGGACGGCGTGGGTACTGCTCCTAATATCGGCCAGTGGTTTGGTCCATTTTCCTGAGTAACGTTAACCAAGCCTGGCTGTCATCCAATTTAGTCTCCTCTTTCAAGCAGCCACGGGTCCTGAGAACATATTTGAAATTGTCTAGTTGTCTGATGTTGTTCAAAGGTGATAGAAACGTATTGTGACAGACAACATATACTGCATCAAGTCTCCGCTGGGTTGGGTATCCAGCAGGTTCGGTTGGATCTGAATATCGTCAATTGTTCATCTCCCAGTCTCTCGGCAGGAGAGAGTGGACAGGAGATTCCAAGACCTACAGCTAACCTTAGCCTTCGTACCACTGATTTGAAATATGGACAATTATTTTCCAAAACCTAATGGCATTTTCCGTGATATATGCATATCTATTCGAAGAATAAATTCAAATTTCTTACATGCAAACAATGAACATGTACAGTGACATACTCCGAGCGTCTCCGATATAACTAAAACATAAACAAGTGAATACATATTTGTGTCTGGAGTAATGTCGGCGATGTTGCGGCTGCCGGGCAACCCATGCGTACAACGGCTCCCACTGTGCTGCAGTGAAGGGTCGTAAACAAACAGGTAGCTTTAATCAAACTCCATTTCTTTTGTTTGAAATGAGTTCAGGATGTAAATGCAGAGTGGGTCACTCAGCACAGACTCTCATTGTTCAAGAAACACGAGACGCTTGTTATGTTCAAATGTCCAGTTGTCAACAACAAACATACTTGTGCAGTCTGTTGTCAGCCATGCATGACAGTATACAGAATGTCAGCATATATAGTACATACTTGCTCCTAACGTTAACTGTTCACAAAATGCAAGCTCCATGGCAAGCCGTTCACCTCAGATAGGTTAATGTTGTTTCATCATGTCTACACCTTGTGTAACTTTAAGTGACAAGAATCGCAATTTATGAACGTATGCACCTAACAAGTGAGTGAATTAAGTATCATATAACGGCGTTTTGAACGGTACTTCAGTTGAAATAGATCGACGATCACCGGATACTGGCAAGACTATGATACGCAACTCTACATAGACGACTGTGCCAATTGTGCCCATAGAAGGGTTGCGCTACGACTGTCGTAAGTCCATGTTAAAGTATGGGAGTTACGATCACCTTAGCGCTACGATCGCTATGTGAAATGGGGCCCTGGGCCTAGATTTTCGAAGCTCTCTTAGCGCTAAGATAGTCGTAACTGTCATACATTAACATTAACTTACCACGATCTTAGCGCTAAGAGAGCTTCGAAAATCAAGGCCCAAGTCTGCTTCTTTGGACTCGATCCTGGGCCCCGTTCCTCAAAACATTCGTAGCGCTCAGATGATCGTAGAGATCTGCCCTGTGAGAACAGGGTGGTTGTCAAAAATGTAGCTCTACAAACGTCTCCGTCTCTCCCTCTGATACCTTTGACCATAAGCGTGCCCCTCACAGTGACAAGTTGAAGCTATGAACAATATACAGAGGAGAATTCGAGTATAGGGTATACATACATCATGACATCATCCCCGTCGTATAACCTTGTATTTGATTGGTTGCAACAGTACAGTTCAGGCGGATAGCAATTACGGAACAACTATATCCATTTCAGATCAGAAGTACCACTTGCACACACATAAGTAAAGAATCTTGTTTGTCTACCTGACGTCAAGGAATGAGATCAGATTGGAGCAAACTATAATTGCACGGCACAAGCCACGTGGGCACATAGCCTGGAAGGAACAGGTCGACAAATGTCTTTCGGTTGCTAACTACTGAAAACTACAGAAATGTCTTTAGCATCGAGAATAGTGACTAACGCCACTCTGTTTTTGATAATTAACGCAGAATTAAACTGTCATTCAACTCTACTGTAGCTTTTGATGAAATCGGTCCAACGGAAGTCCAGGCGGGAATTCCTGTGAAACACAGGTTCATGTTAATGCAGTTTAACCCGGAGTGGGAAACATGTAGAGAAATACTACAATGCAGTTCGCATTTACAGCCCCTATATTCATAAAAGTATCAGAAATCGTATCCAGTTTTTTTGTAAAGTAATTTCAATACTCTTCATCGTATTTAACAGACAAGCATTTTCGTAACCATTGTAGTATCGTAATCTGTAATGGTTCCCATCAAAGAATAAGGTATTGTTTGGAATATAAATTTAATGCCCTTCGAAATAATTAAATATCTTTTCCTTTTAAATATGTTTTTGAAGTATGTCTAACCACTGGCAGCTGTTTGTTTGAAAACGTTATTGGAGCGGAATATTCTCTAATGTGTTGTTCACATCAAAGGTCACGCAAGTTAACCTATGTATGGTTTCTTACATGGGACGTTGCGCGCGCGCGTTTGTGTGTGCGTGTGTGAGTGCGTGCGTGCGGGTAACACTACAGCTCGAGCTTCCAGATGCCCTGTCATTTTCCCTTAACTCAAATTTATCCCCAACGCGTTCAGATTTTGGTTTGTAGATGTTTAGTTCATGATTAGACTAAGGTCGACCTTAAGCCAGTGCCACGAAAGCCGACAGAAATTGGAAGGGAGCAAAACAAGGGAATGCAGACGTTATTCTAAAGCAACATTAATACACGTGTTTAGCCTGACTAGTCACTGACCATCGTCCACGGTTCATTGTTGCCTTTATAGTCCCTGAAGAACAATACACCTAATTCACACAGCCACAGACACATAGAACCTGCGTTTACATCTATCATACATGAATTAGCAAACGTACAAATTTGAAAATGGAACAGAGACAAGAGAGAACAGATTCAGTTAACAATGACTGCAATAATATCAGATTCCGACAAACGGCCATCTGTTATCTGAACGTGTGTCAACATGGTCTGTGCTAATGTTTCTGGAGACCAACAGAACCTTTCAGTCAGTATAGCTGAGGGTACTGTACTCAACACGGTCTACAATAATATGTCAGGTAATAACCTCAGGTTAAACTGTATCTTCTGTCGCCTTCTGTACAAATGAACCCGTGAAGATCCGGGTTAGAATATTGATCTTCAGTAACCCATGCTTGTCGTAAGAGGCGACTAACGGGACCGGGTGGTTAGGCTCACTGACTTGGTTGACACATGTCATTGTATCCAAATTGCGTAGATCGATGCTCATGCTGTTGATCACTGGATTGTCTTGTCCAGTCTCGATTTTTTACGAACCGCCCCCATATAGCTGTAGTACTGCTGAGTGCGGCGTAAACTTACTAACTCACTCACTCTGTACCAATGCTTTGGAAGATGAAAGAGACGTGACAAATATGTTTAGTAAGGGAACGATCTGCAGTAAGCTCAGGGTAGACCCTACTTCATTGCGCCATTCAACAATGTCAGATTACATGCAATGATATTGCCCCTTGTCGATATTCAGGTGATTAACCGCGGTGGCGAAAGTGGGGTAGAAACGGAAGATGTAATGAAACAAAACCAGATCCTCATTGGCTATCCATCCACAAATATTCATTATCAGAGAGAAAAATTGTGTTGATCCAGTTTAAGTGCCTGATCATGACTAAAGGTGACAGGGAATCAAGTCTATGCACGGACTGCCACTAGGAAATAGAAAACCAGATCAAGAGCGGTATAAAATTAAACCTGAAATGAAAATGAAACAATGCAAATAGGCAACATTCGTTTTATCCTTATTTGACGCTTTGCTGACACGTGACAATTTGCATAACAGGTTGCTAGGACTTGAGCTTACACGCATGTACAAACCGGTAATCCGGTTCACAGTTCATGGTTGCTTTGTTTACTCTAAAGTGTTTTATTAAGGAAGTTTTAATTTGTTTCAGCTATCGTGTTTGTCTATTCTCGTTAATAGCTATTAATGGTTTTGTTAATTTGCTGGAGGCGTGACTGGTCGCTGATCAAATGAACTGATACCGGTACACTGTGACAGTATACCTGCTAGATAGGAGATTAATATCCATGTAGTTATGATATCACTAAGTCACATTTATTCCTGACTCACTGGAACATGTGTTCCTTCAAACATTTATCTACCGATGTACAAGGGATAGCCGTTACCACGGAGTACTACTTATAACGAGTATATGAGCGGATGGTATTTGCCCTCCAGTTAAAGATCTACACACTGAATAAGTTCCGCTCTAGATATCTTCCGCCAGAGACTTCCAGCGCAGGTGACAATCCGGCGAGGACATCTTCTTTCTCCGTGCCTTTTTATGATAACCACGGTTTTGTTCTAACACCCACCATACCTGGACCGATTGGTGGTGATATGGTCGGTCCCTATCTGTCCCTAGTCCCTCTAACATTACAGGTATGCCTCTACCTGCTCATAGGTGCGATTGGAGCTCAGGTCTATTTTAGGCGTTTCACTTCCTGGTCGTAAGCTCACGTTGAACAAACGCTCAGTGGCTCACATCGAGAAATATGCGTCGTCGGTTACCGCAAGTCTTAAGATTCTACTCTAACAAGTGAGGATTTTATATTTATTGGGACAGTTTCTTACACTATGGATTACGTGAACTTACCGAACAGTCCCTACAAACTGATAGACGGATGGTTGCAACACAAAGGAACGCACGTAAGTATTATGCATGATCTGACAAGTGTATGTTTGTTTATGTTATAGCAAGCAGTTGACTGGGAACCGCTACAGGTGCAAGTTTTACCTCTTAAAAACGTCGTACGAACAACATGTTTGTACCATCAAGTCCTTGAACTGTATAAACTGGTGTTTCAGAAATGAGTTAAGAAAACACATGATCGATAATATTTAACTTTTGAGGCCGTTTCACGCCTCGTTGTCACCGTATCTACTGTATCTCTCTCACACCCATGTCAAACAGCTGCGTGTTAATAATATTGGCCAGTAATAATGGGGTGAATCTACAAATATCAACGACTTTCATCTCTCTGGTGTATAGTTTTAACTTAATGAACATGATAATTTAAAAATGTGTACATTTTCTCGAATGTCAAACAAGCATATCTGACTGTCTTCAATATTAATTGTACCACTGTTTTGTCAGTGTTTGACAGAAGACCATCACTCTAACAAGTTAACGTTGACATGCAGTACGATCAATCTTCTACCGTTTTCTTACACAGTTTTTATACTGGTGGCAATTCGTTCACAGTGCTTTATACTGTTGTGCTTTTTGCTGATGGTTAGTGCTATTATACCTTATACTGACTCACCCCTCTAGTTATATACTGTAGATAATTCGAATGTACCCAGAACTGGCCCTATGTTTGACTGTGTGAGTTTTAAAGCAGTCTGTATAGGTGAACCATTATACACTGGCTGTCTTGTCTGTCTGCAAACACACGCTTGTCTCCTTTGACATGAAAAATAGGCTACGGGGCAGTAGCTGTTGAGAAACCTGTTTAGGTGAGCGGGGTACCTGGCGTAGATATCAAAGCCTATTGTTAAAATCTAAGACGGCTGAACAATGAGGGTATATAGTACACGTTCCTATTCTCATTTACCGGAAAATTCGAAGTTTGTCATAACAGTTGACATCTGTGTGCAATCACGGCCAACCTACTAAAGAAATTCAGACAAACACTGAGCTTTCACTAAGACCATGGTATCCGGTGATTTAACACAGCAGGATATTCCGTGACACTTAGGGTAGTTACATGGACCGCTGTAGGTATAAGGCTAGTCTGTCTCACAGGCCCTGAACCATAGTATTTTCCCTACTGCCTAGCCCTCCCTGTAAAGCTAAAGCTCTAAATCAAGCAAGTCTAGATTTCCCCTGAATTTCCCAACTCACGGGGGCTCCTTTTCAATTTAAATGAGTCTGTTTGTTACTGTCAATATTATATATATTTAGGGACGAAGCGTTAGTCTAGTATAAGGGCACATAATATGTATGCAGGAGACACTAGCTGAGGGAGGTCAGACAGGGATATGTTCTGACGTAACGATACGAGTAGTGTTTGGATTGATCGTTGTATCTGACAAGTGAGCTGCCGCTTTACAAATCAGAACAGTTCGCGCATGTAGCTGGATATGTATAAAATCTCATTATAAATATTGATTGATCATGTCAGCACGGGTATAATAAATTATAGGTAGAGATTTTCTCTAGTTAAATTAAATAACTCGGGTGGCATAACGAACCCTTCCCTAATACGTGACGACGGGTGTGTTTTTGCATTGAAAGGCTATACAATGTCATTGTAATTTACCAAAATGGCCACACGCTGACCTATGTTTTTGTTCATATTTTCTACGACGGTTCGGGGTGTCGATATTTCCCTGAACACTGTGACGATTAATATGCTGATTAGCATGCCACTCGATAATTTTCTATCAGCAACTCAAACTATTTACTTGACTTATTTTATCAGGTCCATGTATGGCATTTGAGTGAGTGAGTTTTGTTTTACGCCGCGCCCAGCAATATTCCAGCTATATGGCGGCGGTCTGTAAATTATCGAGTCTGAGACAGACAATCCAGTGATCAACAGCAGGAGCATCGATCTGCGCAATTGGGAACCGATGACATGTGTCAACCAAGTCAGCGAGCCTGACCACCCGATCCCGTTAGTCGCCTCTTACGACAAGCATGGGTTACTGAAGATCAATATTCTAACCCGGACCGCCACGGGTTGTATGGCATTTGAGTTATATCTGTAACATGATGTAAGTATGAGGCGTTGAAGGCAACCACCATAATGATGGATAAAATAAATAGATCTAACATACAAACGGGAGACGTTTGTAGCGGTGTTGGTGTATAGGCTATGTAGGGTGTGGGTTCGAATCCCGTATGGGACCCTACCCAAAAAGTACTAGAATTTGTACTTTACTAAGAAAGTGTTATCCCAAATATAGTATATGTTATATGTAGAAACACTTGAAATACGGACATGGCAGACATTGCGAGATTCAGATTCTACTGTACTAAATAGAGTCAATTCTAAATAACTTGTACATTTGAATACACTGCTGATTGGAGAACTGTTGACACAGCATAGACAAAGGTCAACGCCCCTGACAAAGGATAAATTTTCATAAACATGTCCACAGAATATACACACTAACTATGAGGTTAACATTACTGTTTATCATCCAAAACTGTGTTCCACAGGAGATATCGCTTGTGTGAGATCAAACGATATCTCCTAGGAGATATCGTTTTGACAGTAGATTTTGTACAATGCCCTGACAATGCTATGACGTCATGTACTTGATGACGTCACAATGCTATGACATCGCTGCACTGCAAGTCTAATGGCAGTACCATGTTCAGAGATGTACACTTTTCATTGAAAATTAATGAAGAGTGATTTTGGATGATAAATAGAATCTCACCCTCGTGTCTTCTGATATCAAATATATCAACACTCGTTGATAAAAGTAAAAATATCCTCGGCAAGCCTCGGATATTTGTAACTTTATCAACTCGTGTTGATATATTTGATATCAGAAGACACTTGGGTGAGATTCTCTATATATTACACTTATCTGGAATATCCCCCACAGTCTGGCTGTTTGCCAGGCTTACAATCACAGATCTTTCTTATGTCATGTTACATAAAATATGTATGACTGGTATACAGTAAACTGCCTTTACAACGAACTGACGGATATAACGAACTGACGGATATAACGAACTGACGGATATAACGAACTGACAGATATAACGAACTGACGGATATAACGAACTGACAGATATAACGAACTGACGGACCTAACGCACTGACGGATATAACGAACTGACAGATATAACGAACTGACAGATATAACGAACTGGCGGATATAACGAACTGTTGGTTTGTCCCGCCTCTTGTATATTCTCGTCGAAATGCATATACCTAACTACGGTTATAGCGAATGGAAATTTGTGGTCCGCTGTGTTCGATATAACGGTAGTTTACTATAACAGGCCTAGGCTATCACATATACATGGATACTCTTTAAAAAAAGTATGGGAACTTCATCTCTAATTTGCGATTGAAAAAACTGTGAGATATATCGGAGTCAATCAATGTTGATATAATAATAGTTAATGTCTTGAGAATGCATCACCACTTGCACTTTCTTATGACCATAGTTGTTTGTACAGTAATCGCTCTTGAAAGATGATTGGTGTATGACATGAAATTTGCATGTGTACGATTTTCATTTTCAAACAAAAAACCCAACCCGGCTAGACACAAACACTAACAACTGTGTGATGGAAGATGATTATCAAAATAACTGGTCTACCGTGATTTATCGATCTTGTTGAAAACCGTCAAAATCATGCACTTGTTTGGGACTACTGCGTTGTGCACGTGCATCCCATGCGTTGTGTTTAGGGGTGGTGATAAAGAGAAATGGTGGTGAGTTCATAACATGTCTGTCTTTGAAAGGTTTGTTAACGCTTATACTTCCTATCCAAACTGAAACTTCAGGTTCCCCAACGTTTTTAAAGAGTATATACAGTATACATGGCAAACAAAACATTAAAATTAATGTGCATCACTGGGAAACTTTTGTTGTCATAACGTCATGTATCATGCCCGTATTACGAAGACACCTTACATGCAGACAATGGCTAGGTCGTGTAATGCTGGGATGTCAGTTACATTCATATAGTGTAAACAACACTCCGACCCTGTATTCATGGAGTCAGAAATTCGGGGGTTTAGAGAACATCGTCACATTCTATGATGTAAGGCGACAATGACTGCCGACAGCCCGCGATGTAATGACTCGCTTGAGGTATTTGGCAATTACTTGTGAATTGACATTGAGCTATGAGCAAGGTGGCATGTTATTTACATAGTGGTTTTGAAAAAATATGTTTGTGTTGGTTCTTTGTTTCAAGTTGCAAAGGAATTATTTCCTCTGTTTACTAAACCGCAACAGTTTGGGTGTTATGTCGTGATATAGAGGATGTGGATGTTAGTGGGTGAGTGTGGCAAGGAAGAGGATGTGGTTGTTGGTGGGGTGAGTGTGGCAAGGAAGAGGATGTGGTTGTAGGTGGGGTGAGTGTGGCAAGGAAGAGGATGTGGTTGTTGGTGGGTCAGTGTCGCAAGGAAGAGGATGTGGATGTGAGTGGGTGAGTGTCGCAAGGAAGAGGATGAGGATGTTAGTGGGTGAGTGTGGCAAGGAAGAGGATGTGGTTGTAGGTGGGGTGAGTGGAGCAAGGAAGATGATGTGGATGTTAGTGGGTGAGTGTGGCAAGGAAGATGATGTGGTTGTTGCTGAGGTGAGTGGTGCAAGGAAGAGGATGAGGATGTTAGTGGGTGAGTGTGGCAAGGAAGAGGATGTGGTTGTAGGTGGGGTGAGTGGTGCAAGGAAGATGATGTGGATGTTAGTGGGTGAGTGTGGCAAGGAAGAGGATGTGGTTGTAGGTGGGGTGAGTGGTGCAAGGAAGATGATGTGGATGTTAGTGGGTGAGTGTGACAAGGAAGGAGAGGGATGTGGTTGTAGGTGGGGTGAGTGGTGCAAGGAAGAGGATGATGTTGGTGGGTGAGTGTGGCAAGGAAGATGATGTGGTTGTTGCTGAGGTGAGTGGTGCAAGGAAGAGGATGTGGATGTTAGTGGGTGAGTGTGGCAAGGAAGATGATGTGGTTGTT